TATCCAATAAATAATTAATTCAACATACTTATATTTTATTTTTGAACACCCTATATATGTAAAAATTTGTGTTTATTTCAGTTTATATGTGTAGTATACGTAGGACTATTTCTGTAAACTAACTTAAATATCCAGTTTTTCATTGTCAGACTATGTATAAATCTTGATTTTTACAAATTTTTGTTTGTTAATAACACTTTTTTATAAGCAACGAGCGACGATTAAATTAGAAGAGAAAGTTACTCAGAATTATGTCCTTGATAACATATGTTAAGATCAAGATCATTGGGGCTGGGTCCCCTATTCGCTATATTTACCGAAAGAAAAACTGCGATAAGAACCGCACTTCACTTTCTTACTAAAAAAAAATTGTCTTGTTTATTCTTATGCCTAAATCAATATCTTACACACCAATTAAGAAGTAATAAATACATAAAAGAAAAATAAAGTTAATATGAGGAAGATAAGGAGGATAAAGAAAAGAAGGAAAAAATGTCTTATAACACGCAATCTAGTTGTCTTCTGAGAAATTAAACAAAATTACACGTAGTGTCTTTGGCAAGAAGACATATCACAGAATTTAATGAGCTGAATCCGCGAGCAATGAGAGATTCCGAAGAGAGAAAGACTGTTGATATTCGAACCAATGACCAGCACTGTTATTTGTCCTTGTTACTGATAATATTCGTTCACAATAACCAAATGAGAAGTTTCCGATACAGATTAATGATGATTAATAATAATTAATCACGCTGAGAATCGAACCGATGAACTGTACAATTGATCCGAACAAAGAACCGCTAATTAATCCGAGACGTAGGCCGGTACAAACTGCGACACTTGTTGCTAGAAACGGTTACTCACGGAATGATCGAGAATCTCAGGAATGGCCGATATCGATGTAGGAGCACAGAAAGGATCATGAGAGCGCGGTTATTATTGATTGATATATTAGCGGTGAGGCTGGTGGTATCGATAAAACAGGCATCGGGATTAGGTCAAGGCTGCGGAGAGTAAGGAAGAAGGATGCGTGAGAGAGAAAATGAGAGAGAATGAGTGAGCGAATGAGAAGCCGTTTAGGAGATTGATTCGAAGGAACAATATTTTTCCAACAATATATAGGGTGTCTGATAAAGATTGTGCCAACGCTCATGAACAGGTAGAGCACAGTGAACTGAATAGAAAAGTCCTGTACCATTTTTTTCTGTAACGCTTAATAAAGGAGATATTATTGAGTAAAGTGTGGTCAATTAGCGCCAACTTTTAGCAGGACGCGGTGAGCAGTGTAGCCAGATTGCCCACGCTAGCAACGCGCAACCGTAGTGGAGGGGCTGACATACACAAGCGCGAACCGCGTACGTGTGAGCTCGGCGCTTCGACTAGCTTCGGATAGCAGAAGAGGACAGATATACTGTTTTCTCTTGTGTATGTCAGCCCCTCCACTACGGTTGCGCGTTGCTAGCGTGGGCAATCTGGCTACACTGCCGCCTATGCGCGGACCAATGTTATTCTCTCTTTGGACGGAGTATAGAGAAGCATATGCAATGCGCGATACTCTTTTGTCATACTTTATGACAGCAGCTGGGGAAGTTCCTTGGCAATATGAGTACATACAACAACATCACGATGTTGCTCTCGACGTATGTATCTTAAAATTTACAATTGTATCGTTTTCCGTACATTTTTATATATATGATGATTAATTGTTTTATATTTTGTGGTAAGACACAACAATATGAAAAATACTGTAAATACACTTTTGTATGCAAAAAATAAAATAAAATCTTTTATTGGAAACCAAATAAACTTTTATTTCTAATAAACTACAATGTAATTAAAATTAATGCATCCCAATATTAAATAACAAAATTAAAATTGAAATTAAATATAATAATGAATAAAATATATAATATATACTAAAATATGAAATAACGGAATTAAAGTTATAAGTAAAATAAATGAAAACTATAAGGATATGAAAATTAAGGATTATTGCGTGAACAGAAATTATACCTTGAGATTAGGTTAATTTGGATTTTGAAAAATACAAGCAACTCCATAATTTTTCGTTTTAACTCGCTTTTGTGTGGTTCTGTTGTCATTTGAAGCTCCGCTGTAACGAGTTTTCCAATGAGAACATCTGAATCGTTCTCGTTTATCGGTTTCCTCCGGGAACACACTTCACCTGCCATTGTACTTAGTATATTGTTCATCTAATGGAACGCTGTTTCCACCGGGTCAATTTTCCGCTTTTTAAAAAGCCCTCTGATGGTTCCTTGAAAAGCAGGACGTTGTTGGATGGACCATATTCGATTTCTCTATCTCCAAAACAGATGTTTGGCACGAGAATGAGGAAGATGTCGATGGCTGCAAAGGAATTTTGAAATTCGTTTTATATTCTCTTAGAAGTTTTACATTTTCTTATGGCGTTTTCGAATGTAGCACATTCAATCGCTTTGAGAGCGATTAATGATGTCATTGCATTGTCTCTGCCAATAAAAAATTTGAATTCATAGTAAAATATAGTGATTAATTGATCCGGGTTGGATTAACCCGTTCATTAGAAAACGTTATTAGAATCAATTGATTACATACGATTCAAAATTACTCACTAGTGAAGTTTCTTCAGTTGCTGCAGGTGGCGTACGACGTAGCAACGGCGAAGGTGACCGTGTCTGGAAAGTTAAAAACATCGATTAAATGTAAATATCATTTTGTACATTTTTCCATTAATTTAAAATTACACTCACGTCATGATCCAGTTCCAAATATAAAATAGGCTGATTTCTTTCGACGTCGATGTATGCAGTGAGTGCTGGCCGGATGTTGAAGCTGGTGTCTTGTACTGTAACGTGAGTAAAAGTTTTCAAAACACATTTCTCAAGTAAGATAACATTAGTAAGAAAAAAGAAATACATTAGAGTAGTCATTGATGGATATTTCATGGTTGTCCTAATAAAGAACCATTGAACATTGGGTTTTCAATGACGCCCCACTGATATCGTTCGGCCCAGATGGCTTCGTAAAGTTGACATTAGAAAAGCTTCTAAAATGATAAATTGTTGTTAAATATGCTGAATTGTTCGAATTTCCTAACACATCTATGACCATTTGAAGAAATAAATGAAACAAACCTTCTTTGGGTTATATGTCTTCCCAAGAAAGTGAGACTCTCATATAACACCCATTTTTGTTTCGTAGGCTTTTCGGCTCCACTCCTCGTCTCTTGCTCCCGCAATTGCCTCTCCTTGCTGAAGCGTTGGCGGAGACGTATCCATCGATTCTTGCACTCTGTAACTATATTATACACAAATGTAAACAACTATAATTATGATATATGTAAAACGGTAATAGAACGCGGTCCTACACCGCTCATGAGACGGAATAGAGACTGAAAAGCAGAAGGGCTGTCTCTGAGACTGCCAGTTAAGAATTAAAATTTACCTACGTGTAATACTTAGAACAATGGCAATTTCTGTGCACGCATTCTCCTTTATTGTCGTATTCTTATAATTTTCTACAGTTTTATCATAAAGATATGAGAGAGCACAAACCATATCAATTAATAATTCATCATCAAATTTCATGTATTTATTAAATGAGTTTTGATCAAATGCATCTAGTTCGTCATCCAGACCATCTTCTTCTTTTTTGTTCTCGAAACGACTTGAATAATCACGATGATCGAACATATTTGCTGCAAATAGAGTTAGTTGTTGTATACGACTACAACATATGCATACACGCGCCAAAAGTTCGTAAATACAACCTGAAAAATCCGAACGCTGTGATTGGTTAGGAACAGACAATAGACACAGAATTTCCAACATGATGGAAATTCTGTGTCTATTGCCTGTGTCACGGTCCATACTGCATTGATACAAGGATTCTCATATGTTGGAATTCTTTGTTCCTATTCCCTATGTTTATCTCCTGTTCCTATTACCTGTTGCCTGGCATTGTGCAAGGCCCTTTAGAAGCCCTTTTCGGGCCGATATCTGAGGCGACGCCCACAATTCCTCCACTACCGTTTGAGGCCCGACAGCCGAGCTGCCGATCGCGCGTGTAAGGCTGCGTTCGAAAATATCACCCGTGTGCACACGAGCGTCGTTCTATCTTTGTTATTTACTAAAAGTTGAACAAAGATAGAATGGCACTCGTGTGCACACGGGTGATGTTTCCGAACGCAGCCTAACGCTGTGCCTCAGGAGAGTCCCTATATAAAAAATATGCCTTAATAACATGCCCTCCACCAAATCGTCATACAAATTTTCCTTGCTAAATAATTTTTATTTTCATAAATAATTAAAAATTTCTATTATTAATATATTATATGTATTGCGACAACTTTTATTTCCGTATCGCGGCAGAACGATAGACGCGTCCGCCGTTTCGATCTCTCCGTCGCGCGGATGTACGTTGCGCCGACGAACAGGAGCTAATTCGCCGAACGGAAGATGCGGAATAGTCGTTGTCAAAAACAAAACGGAGTTAAAGATCCACGCGCCGGGTGGGAACGGGATGTTAAGAGTTTCGCGCGTACCGTGACGAGATCCGAGAGATAATCGCGAAAATCGAACTTGGGCACCAGATACGATCTTTCACGTATCAATTCGCGAATCACACGTAATAAGTGCAAAACAGGCGCGAAAGAATTTGTCGGAATTCGCCACAGGCTGACTAGCTCGCCTAACGGTAGAGGGGCACGGCGAGTGTTGTTCTAACGCGATAAGTTATGCAAGAAACGACAATTACGGAAACGATAAACACAACTGAAAAGAAACTCTTAAATTAAACAAAAGGAATAACAGGTTTATTATAATAGTGGGAGCCGAAGCTCCTTGGAGAGTAGCAATGATAAACCGCGCGGATATTCGGCTGCGGTAAAAGAGAAAAACGCGGGCGAGATTGGGTGTTAGACGCGGGGCGCGAATCCCCGGAATGTACGCCGAAGCCGGCCCGGAATATCGGTCGGAATCTTCTCGCTCGGCGTTAACTACATCACGTACCGCGGGGTTGACAAATAATTAGTTGCGACGTTAATCCGAGTGATGACCCGATCCGCTCAACAATTTCGATCAGTTGACGGCGAACGTATCGCCCGTTATTATCACCAACTATTACTACACAACTTAATACTAACAGGCAATTAACGCAACGCGAACATGCTTTGATACGGACAGACGTGATACGCAGTGTCGAACACTCAGCACACACGCACGCAATCCATGCAAGAATCGCGAGGAAACTCTCACAAACCACAGACATAACACATCGAATTTACGCGGTTCACACTCTCGCGCAACCCGTACAATAATCGCGAAAGAAATTCGCACCAGACGTGCACGCAAAGTTTAGACGCGAAGATTCGTAAACGACATAAAAAAAGGACGTTTCTTACGCGACCGACACACACACTCGGACGACCGACATACAACACGAACGAGACTTAAACGTGCGAGAAATACAATATACAACGCAAATACAATATACGGAATCCGAATCTCCAGAGAGACGACACACGGTTTATTAAAAACACGAGGTAATGTCTCGATCCGCAGAAACCGATACTCTCGAGGCTTCGGGGCTCAGATCGCTTGACGATGTGGCCGTGACGCAAAAAATTACACTAACGAAGCGGGCTCAGCCCGTACACTAAAGCACGAAATCACGGCATGAAATCGACGACAGAACGATATAATCCTGGGCGTGATCGCGCGTGGCTATTTCGCGGGGGATAACCTCGCCGGCACAATACTCCCCTAGGGCTGCCACGGGCTCGACCGTCGACGTCCTCTCGTCCGGGCCCGTTCTTTGAACGCCGGAATATCCTCTCCGATCGCTCACGCAGCAACGCTCTCGAAAACCGCTCTCGTCCAAAACGGTCCTCTTGCTCACTTCTAACTCGCACGCAAGCTCACGCCAGTCTGACCCCAGGATGTGCGCGATCTAGGATCGATACCACGGGGCCAGCAGGGGCTGCGCACTCGGAGTGCGTATTACCGCGACCAATTACGCGCTACCACGCGCGGTGACCGGCGGGCGGCGCGCTCACGGTCGTATCGGGGGTGGCGCGCCCCCGGTATTTCAAACCATAATTTGCTGGGGCCTTTTCCGCGGGGCCGTCGCGGGGTCCCGGGCGAACGGCTTGGCCGGAAGTATCGTTGCAACCCTCGCGGCTGTCTTCCTGGGGCCGAGTCACGCCATCGAGCGCATTATTGCAGTCCCTCTACGGGGACCGGATTCGCACGGATCCTGGGTCCTTGCGCGAGGATCCTTTTGCTGTCTCGTGTCGCGCATCACGGGTCCTGATCCCGTCGTGACGTAGCTAGACGTTAGATGCTTTGAATTCCTGGATTGCTGGCTCCTTGCCCCTCGAAGGTCGTCCTGGATCGACGATTGTATTTTTCGTGACGCTTCAACGACTTTCCGCTCGTTCTTCCGATGAGGCTCCCAAATCAAATATTCATATGACAAAAGAAATAACAAACGAAATTAATATAAGGCACGAAATCTCGATTAATAACGCCTCTCTGGAGACAACGGTACGGTTCTCGCTATGTTTTGACTGGCGTGGCCCTTTAATCCGCGCTTTGCGATCGAAGAGGGATTCGGCGGACGCGCGCGAGACGGCAACGTCACAGTATATGTAATCTATTGTACACATATATATGTATATATTATATATGTTATAATAATATATTTTAGACAGTAATATATAATAATTACAATTCTGATAATAGCTTTCCATTAGTGATAGGACTACTGGGGAAACTACTCTAGTAGTATACAAAAGCATATGTTCTGACGCAGATTTTTTCCTCTATCATAATCAACTAAAAAAAAAAACATCAAATCAGCTAAAAATCACATATAAAATCAATCATAAAAGCAATAAAATTACAAAAACAAAGGATGCTTACGAAGTGATTAGATCCTTCTTATTTATCCATTGGTTATGTGTATTATCAAAGCCTAGCCATTTAACATAAACTTTATTTCTTTTCTAAAATAAACCCTATAATTAGAAAAAATTCAAATCTGTGGTTTATTTTTAATGAGTTTGGAGATAATCTCAGAAAAATACATGAAGAATTGGCTTCTGAATTAACATATGAAGATTTTTGTAAGTACTGTAAAAAAGCTTGGTCAGAACCACATGGATTTTTGGGAATTGATAAAACAAAAAATGATAAATATTTCTTTCAAAAAAATGATGAATTAATATTATTGTTATAAATGGGAAGAAATTTACGTAATGTATCAGACAAACCTTCGGTTCTTGAGACAAACCTTCGGTTCTTCGACAAAGGACAACTGTTAAATACTGATTCAGAATTGTTGAATGCTTTACCATCGTCGTCAAATACAAAACCGTTAAATACAGACTGTACTCATAAAATGTTAAAACCACTTAACAAACCTCCCATTCTTGAATGCAAATCTCAAGTGTTTAATATGAAAACAGGGTTTAATTTTGGAAATAAATCATTTAAAACTACATGGATGAAATGAATAAAGAAATTAACATATTGATTGATAAACTGGACTCAAGTCTAAAATATACACCTGAAAGGCACCTGAAAGACACCGAAAAGGCGTTTGAAAGACTAAGTCCAAAGGAATTTCGAGGAGAGATTAAAAAAGGGGTGGAAAGGAATAAATCTTTTAGATGAACATTGCAAACAACACGATCTTTTTTATTATACAAACCCAAATGTAGATTATAGTGAAATAAAGAAAGCAGATAAAACTTTACAAGAAGCAGCGTGGATGAGAGTATTGTCACCAGATGCTAGTAAGTCGGAAAGATTTTGGCTATTAGAAATGCAAATAAAGTATTTAGACAAATGGAAAATGATAAAGGTGCAGAACTCAGCCTAAAAAAGAAGTTAAAAATTTAGTATTAAAAGCTTTATCAGATGATGATATAAAACAATATGTAAAAAAACTTAAAATACATAATTTTAGAAACGTCTATTTAAATTTAAATGAATTACCAAAAAAAATTAGAAAAAATGAGTGTGGTATTATTAATCTTTTTTTTCATTGGGTTTGCTATTTCAAAAATAAAAATTGTAAAAAGAAAATAAAAATGTTAAATAAAGATTGCATACGTAAAACATAATGAATATTTTGATAGCAAATTGAAAGCTCCAAAATGCAAAAAAAATAAATCTTATAAATGGCATCAAAACATAGTTCACATCAAGACCTTTTGTTTGAAAAATATCAAGATAAAATTGTGAAATTACAATACAAGTATATTCTGCTTTGA